AATTTATTCCCTCAATAAATTGATAGAAGCACTTGAATGAAAGATACCATCTGTTCGTTTTTCTCCTTCCACTTAGCTGCCTCACTTTCGAGTGTAAGATTCGCCTCCCACATATTATTGCGTGATATTCATACAAACACCTAAAGTTATGAGATAATCTTATCCTTGCTAATCTCTCACCTACTAACTTCTAAGTGTAAATGTAGATGGAAGATGGTATTTTGGCATTATTACTAAATAAGCTAAGTTTCGACTTTTTTCAAAAGTGCCTCTCTTGAATATGAGTAAAATGTTGACTAATTTGGTAAAGTTCTTACCTCGTATTCCAGAAGTGTAGGGTTCGAATCTAACCAATTAAGTGTACTTATGGGTATGAGTTTTCTTAACCTCACCTCACAATACTATACCTCACTTTATGCATAAACTTGGTGTGTCGAGTTATATTTGAGCTTTAACAGGCAAACAATTAAAGGAAATTATATCTAAATATATATTTTTGAAAAATTTAATGCACTGCAAAATTGAAAAATTTGGAAGAAAGAGTAAATGGAACGGCTTCTTTATTATCGATCATTAGGTAGAGTATTTATACAAAACCTTCTTAAAAAATATACTAGTCTAACCATAAATCTTAAAGATATATTCTCTAAATAATATCTAAACATAAAATAAACCTAAACATATTATTCTCTACGGAAAGTATATCACACATATATTTTCCGATATTTCATATCTCTAACACCCTCCCGCAATCGCAACGGCACTAACACGAACGTTGCGATTGGAAATTCTTCACTTTGTTGAAGTCGATCGAGTTGTACTACTCTGTTGATGTCGCCTTCATATATTTTTTTTTTCTTGAATGATGAGAACGTTTTGCCTTTCGAACCCATCAATCATCAACCAAGCAGGAACGACATTCTTTTCGAACCTGCAAAAATAACATTACAACGAGAACGTCTTTTCTTCTCGAACTCGTATTTTGGTTTTTCCAGAGCAAACCACACTCAAATCTCTTATTTTGGTTTTGTTTTAGAGCAAAACCAAAGTCATATCCAAAGAGCAAAATCATGCTTGAATCATATCACAAACCTTGTCTCATGGCACAAGGAGAACCAACACATGAAGCTTGTCTCACGGCACAAGGAGAGCCAATATATACTGTCTACAATAAACCTAAACATATTGTTCTCTTAATGATATTTACGGAAAATATATCACACATATATTTTCCGATATCTCATATCTCTAACAAAAATGTCAATTTAACCGTTCCTAATATAAATTGTACTCCTCCCATTTAAGAGGAGACGGACAGTATAACATTGAAAACAATGCTCTTTTTCGAGGGTGCTTAAATCATTACTCTTATTTTGCAAGGAAGTGATAGCTTTGCTATCGTTTTCAGAGTTTCATCAGTGTAATTTCAGATTATGACACTCCTCTAAGTAAATATCACAAAGTTAAACTTTGCAGTAAAGTTGGAAAAAATTTCACACACCATTAGTTAATGATTAGCTTCATAATTAATCATATAAAACTCCATGATTGCCCAACAAATTTTGTTCAAGAGGCATATTGTGTCCGCTTAAGGAGACAAAAGTGTGGCAAACAATGTAACTTTTGATAGAAATTAGATTTGACAAGATGTCATTAGTCTCATTACCCACATTTTTTTATTAATTATCTAAGATAATGCCTTCTTTCCGGCTCTATTGACTCTTCTGTGCTGAGGGATTTTGTTTACTTACTTTTTCCACAGTAATTTACATTAATTTACAAGAATGCATAAAGTAAATTATCTCCAAAGAAAGATAACAGAAATTTTAAAAGGTCAGGTCCTCAAAAAAATTGATAACCTTTTGACGGAGTTATTAAATTTATCTGTTTCAAAATAATTGTAACCAACTTCCATATTCCTTAACATAAAACTTAAAAAAAGTATAAATATATAAATAGTTTAATTTTATTTTTAAGGGAAAAAATAAGAGAGTTTGATGACAGTTTAATGAAAAAAAAAAAAACATATACATCAACAAAAGGAGTGGATTGATTATGGTTTTTTAAATCATTCCTCTCTACTCTCTATCTTAAATTGCATGTCAAGAAGCTTGTTTCAAGTATTAAATTAAATAGATTCACCCACTATTCGGAAAAATGATGTGCCAGATTTCCATGTTTATTAACTTGGTCTTTAGGGTGTGTGTCATTCACCTGATTCTTACATGTATGAACTTATCTTAATTGAACTTTATCTAAACACTTAGGTAGTCCTTATATATCCTTATCAAAAACGGAGTACTGTAAATCTGTAACTCATTGGGCTTAATAGTTCAGCCCGTGATTAAACCCATATTATTTGGCTGACACAGTACAGGGCTACCCTTTGTAATAATCCGTCTTGGCAGTCTAGCAGTCAAGGCCACTGTCCCTTACCACAAACAAATTTAGCTGATCTTGATTACAAAAAAATACTGCACTTCATATGCTAAAGTGCAGCAATTAACTTAAACCAATTAAAGCCAATAATTTCGCAAAAATCACAAAGTCACCACATATAACAAGTTCCCCATATGTGCAGAAATCTCTCACTCCCACTGCTACTGCTAGCTCCAGCTTCTATTTACTGATAGACAGCATAATTGGGGTCGAGTATAGCATAGAAGGGGCAACTTATCGATAATACCCCAAATTTAAGTCTTACTACAAAATTCTTATTAAGAGGATATAAAACATTTTGTCCCTGTTAGTTGCCTAACTAGTTGTGAATAAAGAGTTATAGAATATACCTTCACTTTTGGTTGATGCACTTGCAACCCCAAGAAAAACCATCTATGTAATGGTACCTCAATATTATTTATCATTGCATCTGCTAACAGAATATCAGGCTACCAGCTAGGGCCTATATCATTCAAAATAAGTTTTCTCATCTTCTAGTATCTTCAGGATTCTTCACACCATCTATATCAACCACTGGCAGAGCCTTAATACCAATTATTCACTATATTCTAGCCTAAAGAGGGGAGTATCAAGAAGATTTTAAATAAAAGAGAATGGGGGGAAATGGGTAAAGACGTAATCAGAACAGCAGCAGCAATATGGCAGTAGAAGTATAGATTATAGAATCAAGTGTAATCAACAGCTTTACTGTAAGGCAGACAGGAGGAAAGGAGATCAAATTTCTGAGGCCCATTACAATTGTAATAAGAGAACAGTGAAAGCATCAATATGTGAACATGTGCATGTGTAGTTTCAATGAGTGCAACGGAGGGCGTGTATGTGTAGGTGAACATGTGTATGTGTAGCCAGTGTAGGTGAACAACAAAAGCAATTAGAAGCAGAACAAAGGATAACTTGGTCTCAAAATGATTTTGATGGGTTTCCAACTTCCCAATATTAACAAATGCCAACTCTCAATTCTGAAGTGAGGAGTAAAACCAAACATTCACATTCACGTCTTCCTGGTGTCCAGCTAATCTGTCAAACTCACTGCGGATAATTAGTACCAACCGCAATTCATTAGCCTCATCTGATTGCTTGGTCTCGGAATCATGTACTAATGGGAACCCAATATCAACAAATGCCAACCTTATAATAGCAGTGAGTAAATCCAAACACTCATTTCATTCTTACTGTCCAGCCAAGCTATAGTCTATAGTCTATCTAATTGTAGCCAGGTTACAAAAGTACAGGAAAAAACTCCTCCTTGGCTCAATCAATCCCAATATTCTCCATAAATTACACAATCAACTTGCAAATGCCAACTCTCAATTCTAAAGTGAAGAGTAAAACCAAACATTCACATTCCTGATGTCCAGCCAATCTATCAAACTCACTGCAGATAATTAGTTATAACCTCAAATCATTAGCCCCCTCTAATTGCTTGGTCTTGAAATCATGTACTAATGGGTTCCCAATATCAAAAACTGCCAACCCTTATAACAGCGGTGAAGAGAAAAATCAAACACTCAGTTCATTCCTACTGTCCAACCAAGTTATCACAGTCTTATTGTGAATGAGTAATATTATCCTTGATTCTATAGCCTCATCTAATTGTAACCAGGTTACACAAAGTACATGAAAACACTCATCAATGGATCAATCGACCCCAACATTCACTGTTCTATAGCCTCATCTAATTGTAGCCAGGTTACACAATGAAAACACTCCTCAATAGCTCAATCGATCCCCACATTCACCGATTCTATAACCTCATCTAATTTAGCCAGGTTACACAAAGTACATATAAACACTCCTCAATGGCTCAATCGATCACAATATTCTCCATAAATTATGCAAGCAACTTGATAATTTTGAATCACACAGTAGGTATTTGACATGGTGAAGTGGTACCAAATCAATAGCTTGTATTTACAAGTCCCCACAACTCACAAGTTAATACACACAAACAGAAACGATTATAGCGCCGGTTATTTTCATGTTCCTAACTCCTCACTGTATATGTCCCTCAAAGACTCAAAATTTTCAATATCTTGTTTAGAATTAGTACTTCAGAAGCTAAAATCATCTCGAAAGTGATGCTCAATTCAACTGCAGCATTTCCACTGACAGCCCAAAACAATTTTCCTACTCTTTTTGTCAATCAAATAGCAATAAAAGTTAGGTAACAACAAAGACAGCATAGTCCATTGAAATTCAAACATTTTGGCTTACATTTCTTGTAAAGTTCGTAAACTAACACAATTCAATTAAGCACATAGTATTAGCATTACATTGCAATAAGTCCCAACTAAATGAACAATTTTAAAGCATCATTTAGGACCATTAACAAACACATTAACATCAATTGAACACAAAAATTACCCATAAAAACATAAACCTCATTTTACTTCATCAAATTAAAACAAAAATACACATAAACTCCATATAATTCACCAACAATAACACCCAAATATACCCATAAAACGAAACAAATTATACATAAAACACAAATTAAACCTAAAACATAATCAACAAACAATACCCAGAAATCTTATCTCTTACTTCTTCTTGGCCTTACTCTTCTTTTTAGGAGGAAGAACAATCTCACCCTTAAGCACAGGAATGGTCATAATCTGAGTCAATTCACCATACTTCTTCTTAAACTTCTCAACTTGATCAGCATCAATAAGAAGAGCAGAGCGATTTCCGAGGTAAAAAGGGTGGTTTCCCGACCAAACTTCAACAGTGTACTCTTTCTGGGTGCCACCAGTTGTCATAACAAGTTCGCCATTGCAGTAGACCTTAGCATCTTCGTAGAATTCTGGGTGAATGTCTGTTTTACGGCAGCTCCATTGAGGACGAAGGGTTGAAGATGAGGTTTTGGGGAGAGTTAAGGTTTTTGGGGTTGATGGAATTTTGGCTAGGAATTGGTTGGATAGGGTGAGCACCATTGTTGTGAACTGTGAAGAGCTTGTTTGTGAAGAGAGATTGAGAGAGAGAAATGTTGGTTTTTGAGTGGATGTGGTAGTGTGAGAGTTTTCTAGAGTAGAAGCCCAACTTGTAGCTGTTTATTTATTTTAGGAGTAAAGCCCATAATAAGTTTTTGTTGTTGTTGTTTGGCAAATGGCAATACTCTTATGAGTCTTATCATACTTCCTACGTTTTAAACTAGGATGTATTCTATTGACTTAATTTTTTAGGAATTTGAATTTATATTGGCCGTCTTAGCTTTGATGAAAAGTGCAAAGTCGAAACTGATTGTATTATCTGGTTTTGACTAACTGTTGTATTAACTGATTTGACTAACTTATTTTATTAGCTGATTGTATAAAAGTATTTGGTAAATAGCTGATTGGTTAAAGTTATTTGAGTATGTGAAATGACCAATAAGTAATTGTGAGGGTAGGTAGTTGTGGTTGGATTTTAATTTAAACGGGGGTATAAGTGTCATTTCACCGTAAAATGTTGAATAAGCTAATTAAATAAGCTTTCCACCAAACACCTTGAATTAGCTTATTTAATAGTCAATGAGCTAATGTTGATCAGATATGCTAATTTTTCTCAAATAAGCTAGTTACCAAATACAACCATTATTTTATTTTATTTAGACTTATCTTAATTAATTAAAACTTATTAGAACAAAACTTGCTAGTTTTTATCTTATTTTAGTTGTAAATTAAGCTTAATTAGATAGCTCTTTTAAATCTTATAAGAGCTTATCTTAGTTTAGTTGTAATTGAGTTTAGATAGTCCTTATTAACCCTTATCATAACTTATTAGAACTTTTTTTTTATTAAATAAGTGAAAAATATAGTGAATAAAAACTAACCCTTAACATTCACATATGCTATAGTCTAGAATTAATCATATAACAAGAATTGAGAGTCAACTCAAGTATAAAGGTATTTAATGGCGATGTAGGTTGCTACCAAGTCAAATAATGGATCCATACCTTTATAGAAATGATAATATGAGTCACAAAATCAACACAATCCTTCAATTTGTAGCCATGGACTCCATCCCCCCGGCGGGTTTTTAGTTGTCAGTCTCTATTTTATTACATTTTTGTATGTAACATGATTTTTTAACTTTCTCTTTTTTATTATATGCATTCTTTGTTGTCTTTGTTGACATTTACTCTTTTCATGATTAGAGTATGAATTATCATCCTTCTTTGTGATACAATTTGAAGTAATTTACTTTGCATATTGTATCTAACCTTTCACGTGAATTATTTAGGCTCCAAAAGTAGTTCAACAAAAATTTGGCCTCAGAAGTAGGGAGTTTATCATACAATAGGAGAACAAGGAGGGGAATAAGACAATGTTCCATATAATCAATGCATCACACATTCAAGTAGAGTAGTAGATGGATAGTTGTTTGAAAGATACTAGCCATAATTGACGATTGTAACAAACTGACAATATAATATTGAAAGTTAACACTGTTGTGTTTTGCTTGTTAAAACAAAGTTCAACAACCTCTTTTGAAAATATTGAACTCGTGGAAAAAAAAGACACGATAATCATGTTAAATACACTTATATTTGATGATACACTTTTTTGAAAATTCATACAAAGAAACGTGCATTATACGAGCCTATTACAAGTTTACATGAACTAAACGTATTCACTTGACATGTGATGTTTGAATGCATTATCTAATCAAGTGGTGAGTCATGTTGCAAATTGGTATTTTGTTTGAAACAACCAATCTTTTTTTTTTTTTTCCTTATCATAACTCATTTAACAACAATCATAGAGATGATTTGTCATAAATTGCATAACAGTGGAAAGGAAAGAAAAAAATAGTTATCTATAAATGACGAAAATTTGTGAGATTATGTTTACAAATTACATACAGGATGGATTAGAGTTCACTATACAATGACCATAATATTAATTTTCTTTTTTAAGAAAGTAACCTACAATTTTAAGATTTCTAAAAGAAGAAAGTGGCATAATTAATTTTAATGTTTAAATATAGGTAAAATAATATATACAAACATGCTATAAATTTTTTTTTACATAAATACTACACTCTTCGGCTCCTAAACACGTGTCATTATCAATGTTTTTTCCCTCTTTTTTATTTCTTGTTTTTTTAATCGATTTTTCCCCTCATGCTTCCTTATTTTTTGTATTTTTTTTTCTTTTTCTTTTCAATTTCTTTCAAAGATTATAAAATATTCAATCAACAAACATTGTCAATCCAAGTTTCCAATACCTATACCTCGAGAATAATACTCCGTAGTTTTAAAAAATTATCAAAACATATGCTTTTTCTATCTTTTAAAATTCCATAATCCCTCCAATCCACGATCGAAGAGAGTAGTGGTTGTATTATATTTCCTCCGTTTTATAATTTAAGCACGTTTGTCAATGTATATTTTCTAATGCAAATATCTTTAATTATATATTAGCAAAAATTATAAATTATTTAAAAAATAAATGTTGAGATGAATTTAACAAGACCCTACGTGACTATACCTTTTTTCAACACGAAATCACAAAACGAAGTCAAAGCCATTTATGTGAATAGTGCATAAAATCAAATTATGTCATCTAATTTGGAACCAAGGAAATATACTAACTTGATAAACTTGAAAGTACAACTTTGACAATTAATAAATACAAATAAAATACTACACTGAATTTCTCGTTCTCGATAATAGTTAAAATTATTATTATGTAGTAGTAATTAGAAATTCACTAATTCTTATATGTGGCTGGTCACACTGTGTGCCCAACCATCATAGGGGGTTACTTGTTTAGTGTTATATGGGTTACTCGATCGGTGTTATAGAGTTACTTCGTCAGTATTACAAGAGTTACTTATTCAGTGTTATAGAGGTTACTTGGTCTACATTATAAGGGTTACTCAATCATAGTTATAGGGTTACAAAAGACTCCATGTTATGACCAGTCGCACACAACACTTCTTGTTAAAAATTAGGGAGTATAAAAGTTTGATATTCAATACATTTATTTGAGTACAAAATTCCATCACACGTATTATACATTTATACTGTCATTTTATCTTCCATAAAATTCGAACAAGACTAACAAGAGTAACAACCGTCTTGCATTCATTTGACAACGGAAGGTGAAATTGAAAATTTTCTCCAAAAACCAAAAAAAATAAATATTTTTTTAATAAAAAAACAACATTACATCACATCACTGATTCACAACACATGAAATGTGGAATGTTTAAGCGGTACCCAAATTCAGAATCACACTCTCCAAGTACCTCTCACTTCCCACTCATTTAGCCAATTTGTCTGTCTTCTCCTTCATTTTCCATTTTTAAAATCTCCCAAGCTTTTTTCTGTTACATTACATCTCCTCTGCCTATTTTCTCTCTCTGTTCTTGCTAGATTCCTAAGCTTTGATTCTGATTCCCATTATAATTTGGGATCAAATTTTTCTGGGTATGATTTATTTTTTATTCCATGTTACTTTTCTGATCTGGGTATATTTTTTAATTGCCAAATGATTGATTCATGATTTGGGTATTAATTTTAATGCTTAAAAGTTGGTAGGATCTGTTTATGCCTTTTCAGTCAAATTCTTTATTATTTAATTAATATTTGTTAGATTCACTATAAAAAGAGTTTTTTTTTTTTTTTGATATGCTTTTGATTCATGGTGCAGATTTAGAGAGAAGCAATGGAGTCAAGTGTAGCAGCTGTCATGAACCCTAATAGTGCCCATTTATCAGAAGCTGGAATGAAACGGTTTTTCGGAGAAAGAATCAGTCAAAATCTAAGGAATAGAGATCTGAAAGCTATGTTTTCCAGGAATTTAAGAACTGATAACAGGGGTAAAAGGGTCATTAAACCTGGTGTTGCTCTCTCTGTTCTTACCTCTGATTTTAATCAAAGTGTCAAAGAATTGGTATGTTTTTTAATTTTTAAAAAGTGTCTTTTTGTTTGAATATATATGGTTTTGTTTGATTTCTATAATTGTAAAAATTGCATACGTTTTTTGGTGCAGAAGTTTGAGCCAGCTTTTTTTGAAAGTCCAAAAGCAGACCCGAAAGATGTAGCTGCAATTATACTAGGTGGTGGTGCTGGGACTCGCCTCTTCCCTCTTACTGGCAGGAGAGCTAAGCCGGCGGTATGATCTTGTAGAAAGTTTGAAACTTTGCTCGTGTATGATCTTTTGTTACAATGTTTACAGTGCTCAATTGAAATGTAAAAAAATTCAGCAGTATGATGTTGTAGAAAGTACGAAACTTTGCTTAATTAGACTTTTTGTTATGATATTCAATATTTTTTTTTTTTTTTTTTTGACGGGTTTATGATATTCAAATCAAATGTTATATGGATGCTCAAAACTTTCCTTAAAATAAACATGGTAATGTGTGAGTGTATTTGAATTGTTGGACTTATGTCGGTGAAATGGTATACAGGTGCCAATTGGAGGGTGTTACAGGCTCATTGATGTTCCTATGAGCAACTGCATCAATAGTGGCATTCGAAAGATTTTCATCCTTACCCAGTTCAATTCATTCTCGCTTAATCGTCATCTTGCTCGGACTTACAATTTTGGGGATGGTGTGAATTTTGGTGATGGTTTTGTGGAGGTAATATAAACGTATAATGTAATTTTGATATTTGAAGGGGGTGTGACAGTAGTGATTTATGAAATTTGATGGAATTAGTTAGAATTGCTAAGTAATTTTTTCAATGAAAACTACTTCTATACTTTTGTTTTTAATATAATGATAATAGGTTTTTGCTGCCACTCAAACCCCCGGAGAGGAAGGAAAGAGATGGTTTCAAGGCACGGCTGATGCAGTGAGACAATTAGGATTATTTGAGGTAATTAAATATGTAATTTGTTTTTTTTTTTTTTTTTTTTTTTTGGACAGTATTGTTAAAATTGATTATAACACCGGAGTTATGTGATTGTTTATTTAGGATTCTAAGTCCAAAAATATCGAGCACATCATTATTTTATCTGGTGATCATCTTTATCGAATGGATTACATGAGTTTTGTGCAGGTATATTTTCATGTTATCTCATGTATCATCCGACACCATTTTTTTTTTTATTATAAAGATAATATTGTAATCATTTTTTTTTTGTTAATTCCAGAAACACATCGACACCAATGCTGATATTACAGTTTCATGTTTACCCATGGATGACAGGTACAAGTGTTCACTTTCGGTGAATAGTTTTAGATTTGATATTCTTATCATAATTATGTGTAATAAGGCATTTCAAATTTTTGGTATTAATTTGTAAGTTGGTCTATTCTCAGTCGTGCATCAGATTTCGGGTTGATGAAAATTGACCGCACTGGACAGATTATCCAATTTGCAGAAAAACCCAAAGGGCCTGATCTAAAGGCGATGGTATACCCTTTATTTATCTTATTGTTAAATTATGTTACTTGTTACTCCTATTTGGAATTAACTAATGTTATTTATTACTCCTTGTGTTTGGACCAACTCATATTTCTTAAAAAACAAACCTTTGTATTAGTTGTATAATTATGGACCATCAAGTACTATTTGTGGTAAAAATTAGTTGTGATTAATAAAAATTGATGATGACACTTGTGAGTTTTGAGTGTTTCGTAATTTTCTTCATGTAATAATTAATTCATAATATAAGAAGTATATAAAAACAAATGAAAGCAGTTATTGTTACAAGTGGATTCATCCTTTTGGTGTAGTTATAAATTTTAAGTAGAGTTCATACAGCATACAACTACAAACGTATATGGTATCAAATTGAGTATATACTATAGTGACAACCATTTTCAGAATTCCTAAAGTAAAAAATTGTAGGAAGAAATGTTTTCAGCATTTTTCATTAATAATGGTAGTTTTTTGTTTGTGGTAGCAAGTAGATACCAGTATTCTCGGTCTATCGGAGCTTGAAGCCATGTCAAACCCATATATCGCATCAATGGGTGTGTATGTGTTTCGAACGGATGTTCTTATGGAGCTTCTAAATAGGAAATACCCTTCAAGCAATGATTTTGGTTCTGAAATTATTCCCTCTGCAGTAGGCGAGTACAATGTTCAGGTGAATGGAATCTGGATCCTTAAAATATTTTATTTCTATATGAACTCCAATTATATGGGTTCAAACATATGTTCATTTATTTGATACTAATTTTAGTATTGTTTCTGTTGTGCAGGCTTATTTATTTAACGACTATTGGGAGGATATTGGAACAATAAAATCTTTCTTTGATGCCAATTTGGCTCTTACTGAACAGGTTGACATTTCTTTCATTTGAGTTAGAATTTGTTATTACTATTTTCCAAAATAATTTTTATGCAAGCTAAGCTAGATACTTTTGTTTTATATTTGTAAATCTGATATTTTTTAAGAAACATTACCAAATTAATTTCTAAACATGTTATTTTTCCTACTTGTAGCCTCCTAAGTTTCAATTCTACGACCCAAAGACACCTTTCTATACCTCTGCTAGATTTCTGCCTCCTACCAAAGTTGAGAAGTCCAAGGTATAATTTCTATAGACTACATTATCTTCTGATGGATTCTTTGCTTTAAATTCGCAATACTAAATTACTAATTGTCTCTTTTCTATAATAGATTGTTGATTCCATAATCTCCCATGGGTGTTTTCTACGGGAGTGTAGCGTACAGCATTCCATTGTTGGGATTCGATCAAGATTAGAATCTGGCATTGAGTTTAAGGTGAGTTGATTATATTATCTTCTATAAAACTTGAATAAGATCGCTTAACTAGAGCACGAGTCACTGTGTTTTACAATACAATCATTCAATTAAGTGCCTCATTTTTGTTTCTAGGACACCATGATGATTGGTGCAGATTACTACCAAACTGAATCAGAAATTGCTTCTTTACTCGCTGAAGGAAAAGTTCCTATTGGTGTTGGACAGAACACCAAAATTAGGTAACACTCAATTTTATTATTTCTCCTCTTACCCTTCCTCTTCCAACTTGATCGTATTTTATATGTGTCGTTGTGCTCACCACAACGAATATTGTTATTTAATGGATGTGGTATCAACGCCTCATTTTGAATTATAGCTACATCACTTTGTGTAAATGCCTCTAAATTTGAAGTTGTGTTTATGCAACCACAAGTTTACAACATAATACTACTAATCAAGTGGATTCGAGTGCACTCACTACCATAAATACGAGACCATTCACTACTAACAAAACATTTAATTATATACTCACTCTATTGAAAATAGTTTATGCTGTCAAGTCTGTCTCAACATGGACATACAAAGTATGACATAATATTGTAAAGAGTGAGTACATGAAGAGGAGGAAGCTTTAAGGAATTTCAGTGTCAATACTTGTTAAAGATGTGTACTTGAAGGTTATCTCTTTTTACTAATCTACTGTCTGTGTGTAGAAACTGCATAATTGACAAGAATGCAAAGATTGGAAAAGATGTGGTGATCGCAAACACAGATGTAAGTCCAATCAGTAATGTTTTTCACATCAGATTTTAATGTATCGAAGATATTATATAAAACACTCATGTTATATGTTACTCTTTCATCGATATATGGCAGGGTGTTGAAGAAGCAGATAGACCAAACGAAGGCTTCTATATCAGGTCAGGCATCACCGTCATCTTGAAGAATGCAACTATTAGGGATGGTTTGGTGATTTAGATTTAGTTTCGTTAACTTTATGGAAAGAAATAAATTTTGCAGGCTTTACTTTCCATGTAACATAAACCACGAGTTTACCTCATGTGTATATAAACTTAGATAATCATGGTATAAGAGGCTAATATAATCCCGATATTGCAGTTAAGGGTTTTAAAATTGTGTACATCCACTAAATCTAGTATTTGTTCTTCTCGGTATCTCTGAGCTGAGCATACTTCTTCCTTAGCCCAGAAAGTTTCTGTGATTGTTCAGAAATTATTCCTGCAATGTATGATTCTTCTTTGAACACTATTTCATACCCATCTCGGAAATTATCCATTCCCATAGTTAACAGATGCCAGAATAACCCACCAGCTGCAGGTCCGCCTCTGCTGGCCGACGAATAGATGGAAGAGTAGGTGATATTGTAGAGTTGGTTTCTGTCAGATGAGGTGTAGCCTGAGACTTTATATGATTTACCAAACTCGGCAAATATTACTGGCTTCTTAAGGATGTTTAGTGAGTCCAAAATATGTTGTTGCACCCACTGCTGGTGGAAGGAGAGTTGTACTTCACAAGGTGAACCATTGAGCCTGCAGATTTATTAATGTTACTTTTGATAACCGAGCACAAAGTTGGGTCGATGGTAATGATAATGGGGGAACCTACTTGCTAGCCTGATATGGACATAGTTGAGTACTACAGAGTGGCCGAAGAAAAAACCTTAAATGGCAAGTTTTGGGTAATATACCAGACAAGCGCGACATTTTATAGGATATGTTATAAGGTGACTTTTATGTAGATCTGTAAACTTACCATTGATCCGGGTACGAATGGACAGTAGCAAAATCCACACCAGGAACCTGATTATTAGCAATGAAGTTTGTTCCTTCTTTGCCGGTGTTTGGATTGTATTGCTTCTTGCCATCTCCATAGAAACCCTCTAGTCCAACTTCAAGAAGATGGTTTGCATCTATTGATTTAAGGTAGGAAGCCATCTCACTGATCCAATCCTGAGAACAGGAAAAAAGCTACTTCAGAGTTCAGAGTACAGTTAAAAAAATGACTGAGCTAATATCAGAAATTCAGAATTATCTTCACCAATATCTATGTTTTTTGTATTTTGTTCTTTGTCTATGTATGTTGTATGTTTTTGTTTGGTTTAAAAGGTTGGCATACAGGTTAGGCATCTTTTGGTTCTCGTTCATGAATGTATTTGGTTCCTAGTGTAGATGAACCAAAACTGAAACTGACTTGATCTAAACTATTACTATCTCTAAATGAGTAGTTAACGGTTAATACTGGGGTAATAAGGTAAAATCTCCTTTCGTCTTAATTCCCAACCCTCCACACTAACCCTTTATACCACCACAAACACCTTTGAATATCATAGCACCACGGTGTTTTCCCACTGTTATTACTATGACCACCGCCACCCACATTCACACCAGTGGACTCATTGCATGTATGACCAACACTCATGCCATTGTCGTTGGTGCTGCCAAAATCGTCGCATTTACCACCAAATATACATAGAGGATGCTAAAATCTCCTCCTAAAAGCCAATATCGCTGCATTGGTATGTCCAAAACGCTCGTATCACTAGGTCACTCGGTGGCGTCAGTGCGAAAGGGAGAATTCAAGGAGAGAAAGACATCCATTAATCTGTAAGGTTGACAACTCTCATGACATCGATCATCGATGTCTACTAACTTTCTTTCATAAAAATAGATGATCAAATTATGAAGCAATTAATTCCATCTTCCCAACAGAAGAAATACCCATCACTCCATCAGTATTAACATGAATTTGGCATAATATATGCACACACTATATAATGTGCAAAAGGAACGCAATGTAGTGACTTTTTTACGTTACAACTTAATAATGTAACACCACCTTCGTTATGTTACCTTTTCTTTGTACGGTTGGAGGATAATAGATTCCGTGCCTAACTCAAAAAGCCTTAATACTATCAACAAAAATGTAGGTTGGTTGCAACTATGCATGTGATTATATGACTATGACATTATACTCTTTGATTTGGTTATTTTTACCACAACATGTGCAGATTCGATCTTTCTTCTCGTAATACAAAAACAAGTTGATTTATGAGGAATCAAATCAACCAATAAGTTTGTATAAGCGCTAATGTGTATAGAGTTTATTTCTCCTTCTACAAATATAAAAGTTATACGAAGCACAAATTATTAAAGCCGATAAGTTCATATAAATACTAACAATGGAAATTTGATGAGACCTTTTAAAACCAGCAATTTATAGTAGTTGTAGTAAGTAGGGAGAGGTTGAACAAACCTGAAGTACTTTTCCAGAAGGATCAGAAGGACATCTTGGCTCATTCATAAGCTCCCAAGCCATAATTGTTGTATCATCTTTGTAACCAACTCCAGTAATGCTATTAACTCTTGTTAATACAGTCTGTACAGTAATTTTTTCAAATCATAATTTACTAATTATAATCGATCACATAATTAATTTTATGGTCCCAAACTCCTCATTTAGGACTATATGTATAACTCTTTGACATCCATAAAAGGAATTAACCATACTCGCATACTTTACCCAAATAAGCTAATTGACTTTGACCTGGTTCTCGATTTAAAACTACCATTCTCCCAACTACTTATAACTCGTGTAATGACATAGGAAATGTGACAACTTTTTCTAAACATTCCAACATACTATGTACTATGGAAGACAAAGTGACATAGAACAATGTATTAGATGAAGAATATGTTCCGGAGTTGAGATGATAACCTTAATATGATTTTTGTAGAATCCCTTAACAACAGGATTAGTGAAGAAGTCATCCTTAGATGACAAAGACTGTCCTTTGCTCTTAGCCCATTCCACATACTGTTTCTTCCCTCCATATTCATCATAATTGTTCACCAAGCTTAACACCACCTTTATCTCATACTTCTTTGCTTCAGACAACACAAAATCTAAACCCTTCATACATACATTTAAAGTTTTAAACACCCAATAAATAATCAGAACAAAAAAAAAACCAAAAAAAATACTACCTTTGTTAATTTTTAATTGCAATAAAGGAATATTTTACGTCTCACATATAATATACCCTTGTTACAACTAAAAGTTAACGGAGGGAGTAACATAAAATATCCTATAACAAAAATTACAAAATGAAGAAAAAGAATTACTTGGAACATTTGTTCATTGTAAGAACCAGGGGAGTATTGAAGCGGTCGATAACCGGCGTCGCTAAAAGCCCAAGTTCTAACAATACAGAGGCCATGATTTGAAGCTTGTTGAAAAACAGCTGAAACTTTGTGTCTTTGAGATGGATCAGAAGCCTCATACATTAACCAATATGCATTGAATCCATTTGAGTAAAATGGGATCCCATTTAACCAAAATTGTACCCCTTTTGTTGTGATGAATCCATCCTCTGCTTTTACTGGTTTTTCTTGGAGATTTAGCAGAAAAACTAGCAAAATTAATCCCCATGCCTTCATTTTTCTTTTTCTTGGTGATATGATTTGGTTAGATGGTAATCGTGGTAGTATTACGTGCGTTGCGTGTGTTATATATAGATATGGTTGTAACTCAAGTTTGGACCATAAATTATTAGTTGAACTTTTTCCTAAGTCATTTCTATGCCACAAAAAAAAATTTGTTATAAGAAAATACAAGGTTATCACTCTAATAAACAAATTTTTTTATCAAGTGGTACAATTGTAAATTATTTATTTATTTATTTAATTAATTAAAAATGGACTCTACAAGTATTGATATAATGACGAAAAATACAATTCAAATAAGGCAAGTGATGCATCTTAAAAACCGATTTTTTATATACACCCGGTGATCCGGATATTGAGAAATTCGAGAGTTTGTTAAATCTATACGAGAAAAACCTAAACTTGAACATTAACTCATTAGAAGCTACAAATTGGCGGTTCTTGGACGGTTCAAGCAAAGGAACTTGATGTCTAGTACAAGCTCAAGTTCCGAATCACTCTACTTAGTGATTTTTAATTAGTTTTTGCTTGCAAGTTTTTACCTTTCACTTAAAAGGGTTTTTCTTGGTTTAAGCAATTAGGATTAATTTTATTTATTTTAGAAATTATAGACTAAGTAGAATTAGTTTCCTAATCTAAGTAGAATTGGAATTAGTTTCCTAATCTAAGTAGACTTAGTTTTCCTATTCTATTTGGGTTACTTGGGGCTAAAGGCTATGGACTTGTCCTAGTCCTATTAGACTTAGAATTAGTTAGTTTTAGTCTATAAATAGTTGTAATTTCATGACTTTTAGATATAGAATTTTTCAGATTAATAAACCAAAGTATTTGTTTCTTGAAGCTGGTGATTAGGTTCTTTAAGCTTTGTTTAAATTGATTAATTAAGGGGTGGTGTGACCTTTAACTTAATTAATCTACTTGTCTTCTTGTTTAATTCTTGGTGGACGAATCCTATAGTGAATTAGGCTTGAATTATCCTTGTGTGTGTTTAAGTTTCTTGAACATACGCACTACCCGGTGTATGGTGCATCTCAATCCAAGGTTTAATTTTGCTCTTAATATGATGATTAAATGAACAATAATCTTCTAAATGAGAAAAAAATAGTCCTAAATATACAATATATATATATATATATATATATATATATATATATATATATATATATATAAATCTCTCCTCTGTTTGTATATGTATTATAATCCGCTTAACGGCAGTGGCGGATCCAGGATTTCTGAGATAGTGTGTCACCATCAATTATTGATCATTTGTGAAAGTTGTGTGTGGTGTTATAATTATTTTATATATATATATGTGTGTATATATATATATATGTGTATATATGTATATATGTGTATATATATATATATATATATATATATATATATATATATGTATATATATATGTATATATATATATTTCACCAAATTGATTTCAATCCAAAAATAGGACACAAATTCATACCACAACCAAATACAGTACTTAAGAATTCAATTTTACAAGTCGAAAATACTACAAATAACATGTTATAAACAAATGGTACAATAAAATTATTATATTGAATTAACTTTATGATTTTTTAGTTAATTGATAAGCTTTATGTGGAAATATTAAAATTGGTTGTACAAATATAAGATATAAAAAGGGAAAAAAAATTATTAAAAAAT